TATTTCTGGAACTCTTGAGTCTGCAGTTAGTGATTCTCTCAAGATTGGCTCATTTCAACTACTTTTTATCTTGCTCTCATTTGAACGATTTGTTCTAGCTCAGCAGTTACCTTTTTGGAGCGTCATTAAGATATCATTAAGATGTCTTCTGGCCTCCTAGGCTTCCATTGGGTAGTCAGCTCTTGGCCTAATTTTGCTCCTCTAATGCCAATACTCTTTTTTTCCCTATGCATGCTTTTAAAAATTTTTTCCTATCTCCAATTTTCAGCAGTTTTACTATGACATGCCCAATTTTACTTTTCTTTGAACTCATCCTGCTTGGAGTTCCTAGTATTTCTTGAATCTCTGGCTTGATGTCTCTCATCAATGGGAAATTCTCAGCTATTATCTTTTAAAATACTGCCTCTTCCTCATTGTCATTCTCCTCTCCTGCTGCTGTGGTTCTATTAAGATTTGTGCTTGGTGTTTCATGTGTTCTACATATTTCTTTTTCCTCTTTTCTGTATTAACCATACCTGCTTTCTGTGTTTTATTTTGGATATTTCTTCTGATTTGTCTTTTAGTTCAATAGTTTCTCTTCAGCTCTTTCTAATCTTAGTTTAAACACATCCATTCTTCTTAATTTCACCTATCATATCTTCCTGTTCTAGAATTTCTATTTCTTTCCATTTTCAATATTCTGTCAATTCCTTGAACATATTACTCATAGTTTATTTGTTGTTGTTGTATTGGTCCAATAACTTCATTTTCTTGATCTCCTCTGGATCTGTTTTGTCTGCCTTTTACTTTTTTGGAAATATCCTCTGTGTGTGCGGGTGTTTGATTCAATGCTGGCTATTTTATATTAAAAATTAACACGTTAAGAGTCTGGATGACATCACCTTAATCAAGACAGCATTTGGTTTTGCTCCTGGCAGGCAGAGAGACTAAGAGAAGAAGCAATTCCTGATTGTCTTTCTCAAAGGAGTAAAAATGTAAGGGCTTCAGCACTGTGATGGGTGGTCTATTTCTAGTACGTTCTTACTCATAGGTTAGGCCTTTCAGAGCCCCAGCTGAAAACACAGGGTGTTTATTAGGGCCCTTCCTTTCTCCGGATCCTTAAATTTCAATGTTTGTCTCCCTGCCTCATGAGTCTGTCAAGGATCTAATCGTTTTATCAGCCTCTCAGTTGCTTCTTTCCAGTCAGTAACTGCCTTTAGGGAGAAGCCCCCGCCTCCCAAAGCCAGATCACCTCTTTGAGCCTCTTTTTCTTGCAGACCAGGCCCTTACAATTCCTCACACATAACCCTGGTAGCTATGCCATGCATCCAAAACAGTAGCTTTTGTTAAAAAAACATTTTGTCCTAGCTGTTCACAGCAGAATTGGTTCCAGCTACTTAATTCACCATTGCTGATACTGGAATTCCTCCATGCAAAAAAATTTTTAAGTTTATATGGTTGATTTAACAATTTGTTTCCCTAATTGCTTCTGAATTTTGATTCGTGGTGAGAGAGACCTTCACCATTTTACTGTTATTTGGAAGTTTGTGTTTTGTTATAGTTCTTTTATGGTTTCAGTTTTTACATTTAAATTTTTGATCCATTTGGGATTTATCTTGATTCACTGAGGTTATATACAACTTACTTTTATTTCTGATGCCACCTCTTTATCTATCTTCATTTATTGGATATTCTATCTTTACGTCACAGACTTGAAATTTTACCTTTTTATATAGTAAATTAACCTGTGAATTTGAATCTCTGGAATTTCAATTTTTCTATTGTTTCATTGTATGTCCCTGTTCAAGTGTCTGTGTGACATTCTTTTTTTTTTATGACTTTAAGATTGACTGTCATGCAATATTCTGCATGCATTTCAAGTAAATAATTTGATCAGTTATATGTATACACTAGTGAAACCATCACTACAATCAAAATAATTAAAATTTTCTTGTGCCCTTTTTTAATTTATCACAAACTCTGATGCCACTCATTGTGACTAAGCAACAAACTGTCATCTTAATCTGCAGTTTCTAGACATTTGATAAATGGAATCATGTAGAATATACTCATTTTGTTTTTTATTCAAGTTATTTTGAGACTCATCTATGTTGTTGTCTTTGGCATTAGTTTGTTCCTGCTTATTGTTAAGTAATAGTATTTTATATATTTGTTTTTCCATTCACCTGTTGTTGGACATTTAGGTTGATCCCAATTTTGGGCTATCACAAGTAAAGCTGCTATAAAATTTTGTATATAAGACTGTGTGGATATAATGCTTTGGTTTCTCTTGAATAATGACGGAATGGCTAGGGCTTCCCTGGTGGTGCAGTGGTTAAGAATCTGCCTGCCAATGCAGGGGACACGGGTTTGTGCTCTTGTCCGGGAAGATCCCACATGCCACGGAGCAACTAAGCCTGAGCGCCACAGCTACTGAGCCTGCGTTCTAGAGCCCGCGAGCCACAGCTACCGAGCCCGCATGCCACAACTACTGAAGCCCACATGCCTAGAGCCCGTGCTCTGCAACAAGCCAATGCAATAAGAAGCCCACGCACCACAACGAAGAGTAGCCCCCGCTCGCTGCAACTAGCGAAAGCTGCGCACAGCAACGAAGACCCAACACAGCCAAAAATAAATAAATAATTTATTAAAAAAAAAAATGGAATGGCTAGCTTGTATATATGTAATTTTCTGAAATTGCTCAACTATTTTCTAAAGTGCTTGTATTCCAATAAGAAGTGAATGAGGGACTTCCCTGGTGGGGTGATGGTTAAGAATCCGCCTGCCAATGCAGGGGACACAGGTTCGATCCCTGGTCCGGGAAGATCCCACATGCCACGGAGCAACTAAGCCCATGCACCACACCTACTGAGCCTGCGCTCTAGAGCCTGCGAGCCACAACTACTGAGCCTGCATGCCACAACTCCTGAAGCCCGTGTGCCACAATTACTGGAGCTTGAGCACCTAGAGTCCATGCTCCACAACAAGAGAAGCCACCACAATGAGAAGCTGGCACACCGCAACGAAGAGTAGCCCCCACTCGCCTCAACTAGAGAAAGCCCGCGTGCAGCAACGAAGACCCAAAGCAGCCAATAATAAATAAATAAATAAAAATTAAAAAAAAAAAGAAGTGAATGAGATTTCCAGTTGATCTGCATCTTTATCAACACTTGACACTGTCAGTCTTTATAAGTTTAGTTATGCTTAGGTATGTATCTCACTGTGGTTTTAATTAGCATCTCCTTTAAGATGCAATTTAAAGATAAGATCTTTCATGTACTTCTTTCATGAAGTGTCTGTTCTAACATTTTGCTCATTTTACATATTTTTTTCCTTCTCATTAGTTGCAAGAGTCCGTTTTATTTTGGGGGCATATGTTTCTCAAATATCTTCTCCTAGTCTTTGGCTTGCCTTTTGATTTTCCTAATTGGTTTTGAAAAACAGAAGTTTTTAATACTGATTAAGTCCAATACATTGATGTCTTTAAATCTACAGATCAATTTGAGGACAACTGACATCTTTACAATATTGATTCTTCCAATCTATGAATATGACATATTTCTTCAATGTCTTCTTTAATTTCTCTGAGTTGGGTTTTAGGGGGAGTTCTCAGAAAACAATGGCCCACAGGCCAAAATCAGCTCATGGCTTGTTTTTTGTATGGTCCATGAGATAAGAATAATTTTTACATTTTAAAGGGTTGTCATAAAAATGAAGAATAAAATGGAAAAGATACTACCCGTAGCTCACAAACCTAAAATATTTCATATCTGGTCCTTTACAGAAAAGTTTGTCAGCCCTGTTGTAGAGAATTGTGTGTAGAGGTCTTGAACATAACTCATTAGATTCATTCCCAGGTATTTTATACCTCTGATGCCATCAAGTAACATCTTTTATGACTAAGTTTATTTAAAATGTTACATGCCTGGTACAGAGTGGTTGTTTAATGGATATTCAACAAATAAATGAAGAAAAACATTTTCATTTTCAGAAATAAATTTGTGAAACAGCCTGCTAAAGGATGCTGAATTAAGACCATGACAGATCAGCAAAAGGAAGACACAGGAAAGAGATTCTGAAGAGTGTAGATTTCCTTTCTGTCTTGGGTTTCTGCCCCTGCGCTTTCCTTTTTGGCCCCCCCCGCCCCACTGCTACTTCTTCTGACAAAGACTTCTGACACCTTAGGGACATGGATGTTGGTGCTATACGATCGAGGAAAACATAAAGGCATTATTTTTTCAATTTTATTTTCTTCCTGTTCATTGCTGGTGTATTAGCGAGGGTTCTCCAGAGAAACAGAACCAACATTTGTTTGGTTCTATCTATCTGGAGAGATAGATAGAGGATAGACAGATATTCTAAGGAACTGGCTTTCATGATTGATTCTGAGGGCTTATAAGTCTAAAATCCATAGGGCAGGCCTGCAGGCTGGAAACTTGGGTAAGAATTGCTGTTCCAGCCTTGAGTCCAAATACTTCAGGGAATCAGGCTGAGTTTCTATGCTCTCGAGGCGAATAGCTTCCTCGGTAAAGCTTAGCCTTTGCTCTAAGACGTTCAACTGATTGGATTAGGTCTAACAAAGATTCTCTCCTTCACCAAACTTTAATCAGGTGCCCCTAAACTCCCTTCTCAATTAGGCTCCTCTGACTTTTGAACTTCTGTTATTTGTCTATGCATTCCTCAGTTTTAGCAAGGCTCCTGCTAAGTCAGTTTAGCCAGAATCTCCCACCCTCAATATCTGACATCTGGTTCCTCCTCCTCCTCGAGCCCTGTCTGATCATCCCACCTGCCTCCCGCAAGAACCCTTGTCAGGTCAGTTTAGCCAGAATCCGGCCCCCACTCCGCCCCCCTTACCCCTCTTGTTTTCTCTTAGCCGTTTTCCGTTCACGGACATGCCAGCCACGCCCAGCCGGCTCCTGGGCTACAAATTCCCACCTTCCCTTGTCTGGAATTGCGCCCAATCTCTCTGACCTAGTACAAAACCCCACTGTAGTAGACGCCCTGAATAAAGTTTGCCTTACCGTTAACAAGTGTCAGCGATAACTTTTCTGTAACTCTTCCATCCACAGGGGACTCGGACATGGGTTCACCAACCTGGTCACCCATCCTATTTGGCTTCAGCCTCTGCCTTATTTTCCTCGTGTCTGTAAAGTCACAGGCCTAGGACCCCGCTACTAAACATGTGGTCCTCAGAGCAGCAATACCAGCACCACCTGCGACTGTGTTAGAAACGCACAATCTTGGCTCCAAAAGTTATCCTTGTGGACCTTTTTCTTTTCTTTTTGTTTCGGCTTTCTTTCCTGTCCTGCCAGTTGTATACTTGTATGTACATTTTTCAGTGTTTTCTGTGGACAATAAAAAGTTAAAAATGAATTCTAGGTGCAACTGCGTTAGCTGCGTCCGGCTGGGTTCTTCAGACGCAGGGCAGCGTTTGTGGAGACGGCTTCGCCCGCCGCCGAGGGGCTGCCGCAACCGGCCACAAGCCATGAGGACGCGGTCCGCTCGCGGCGTGCTGCCTCCGCCCACCCCTACGAAACTCCGCCTCATCTTCCCCTCCGCCGGTCCCCGCCTGGCTGCCCGCGAGGCCCCGACTGGCTCAGTCACAGCGGCCACCGGACTGCCGCGAAAACCCGGACTAACGGACTCCTGAAGTCGCTGGGGTCGCCGCGAGGGTGGCGGGGGGCCTTACGGAGCATGCGTAGGGAGGGTGCGCGCACATGCGCATTGCCGGCGCAGGGTCGCGCGCTGGGGTGTCTGGCGGCCGAGAGGCTGCGCGCGCGGTTGACGTGCTCGGTGGCTGCGGCGGCGGCAGGGCGTCAAGAGGGGAAGGGCGGGCGGGGCCGGGGGCTGAACCCGGAAGTGGGTCGGCGCCAGAGCGAGCGCGCCCGGAGTGGAGCTCAGCGGCCGGGAGCCAACGGGTAGCCCTGGGTTCCCGGTAATGGACGTGCGGGGCGTCTGCTCGGGGAGCGGGTTGGCGGGCGGCGGGGGCGCCCTCGGCGGCGCGATCTCCACCCGGCGGGGCCTGAGGAGGCTCTGCTCCGGCGGCCGTCCCCCGGGTGACCCGCTCTCCTCTCCGCGCCTCCCGGGGCCGTCCCGCCGGGCGCCTCCAGCATTTGGACGCTCGCCGGCCCCGAGGAGGTGCGCCTAGCCGCCCCTGGGAAGCGTATTAATGGGGAACGTGGGTTCCGCGGCCGCGACGGCCTGGTTGTCACTGTCCCGGCGCCCCTGCACCGCGAAGGTGGCCGCCTCGACCTGCACCCACGGCGCGCTCCGCGGAGCCTCCCCTTCTGCCCCACTTTCCCCTACCCGGTTCGGGAATCGGGCCTGCAAGGTGTGCTCTGCCTCCTTTAAAATTCTTTTGTTGGCTGTGTTTTCTAACCCGGCCCTCCTTGTTCTCCGCCCTAAAATCTCAGCCACGAATGAGTGGAAGCGGTGACTTTATCATAATTTAGTTTTCGTTTAGGAAGGATTTGTTTACAATGCCGCGAATGATTTAGGATCGCTTGGCCATGCAGTTATTTTTCATGGTTCATAACTCTTTTCGCAGACCATGCAACCCTCGGGCACGCCCCTCCAGAAGCTGTGATCCAAGACAATCTAGTTTTCCTTTATAAATCCCTCAAGACACTTATGAAGTTTCTTGTTCTGATACCGTTGTACTGCAATGAAGAAAAGGAGAAAGGTTACTTCACATCTTGACGAGAAGATCCATCTAGGCTACCGTAAAGATTCTTCGGAAGGAAATGTTGCAGTGGAGTGTGAGCAAGTAACCTACACTCATTCCACGGAAAGACCAGCTCCCGAAGCTCTTCGCTGTTACCAGGAACTTCCTCCCTCTCCGGATCAGAGAAAACTTCTGAGTTCTTTGCAGTACAATAAGAACTTGCTGAAGTATTTAAATGATGATAGGCAGAAGCAGCCATCTTTCTGTGACTTACTTATCATAGTAGAAGGAAAAGAATTTAGCGCGCACAAAGTCGTCGTTGCTGTTGGCAGTAGTTATTTTCATGCGTGTTTGAGCAAAAATCCAAGCACGGATGTTGTCACCCTGGATCACGTAACTCACTCCGTTTTTCAGCATTTGCTTGAATTTCTTTACACATCAGAATTTTTTGTGTACAAATATGAAATCCCACTTGTTTTAGAGGCTGCAAAATTCCTGGATATTATAGATGCAGTTAAGCTGCTAAATAACGAAAATGTTGCCACTTTTCAGTCTGAGCTAACTGAAAAATCGTCACCAGAAGAAACACTAAGTGAGTTAACTGGAAGACTGTCGAGTAATCATCAGTGTAAATTCTGTAGTAGACATTTTTGTTATAAGAAGTCTTTAGAGAATCATTTGGCGAAAACCCATAGATCCCTTTTATTAGGGAAAAAGCATGGGTTAAAAATGCTGGAGAGAAGTTTTTCCACAAGGAGATCAAAACGGAATCGGAAGTGCCCTGTTAAGTTTGATGACACTAGTGATGATGAACAAGAAAGTGGTGATGGATCAGACAATTTGAATCAAGACAGTTTTGATAAGGAAAAGTCAGATAGAAATGATTCTGAGGATCCCGGCAGTGAATGTAATGCTGAAGAGGATGAGCTAGAGGAGGAAATGTCAGATGAATACTCTGACATTGAAGAGCACAGTGAAAAGGATCCCAATGATGCAGAAGAGGAGGCTGAGGCTGGTGATTCTGTCGGAAGCATTCATGAGGGATTAACCCCTGTAGTCATTCAGAACACTAACAAAAAAATATTGCAGTGTCCCAAATGCGATAAGACATTTGACCGCGTAGGTAAGAAAAGAAAGCTTGTTTCCTGTCTCTCATAACTTACTTTTCATGGGTATTTTAAAGGTGATAGTTGGAAACTAAACTTTGAAAGTAACTTTTAAAAAGAAAACTTAAGTAGAGAGGATATTTGATTTTTGATACATATTTTATCCTGTTATTATGGGTTTGTTGTGATTCAGGAATTAAGTATTTATATTACCCTTTATTTTCTCTTCCTCATGTCGTGGCAGTAGGTGACAGATCATTAGTTCCTGTATTTAGTGTGAAAAATTCCAGAGTATCAATAATTATGAATGTAGAGCTTTGATTTATATGCTAATTTAATTTCATAGGTAACTGATATTTTTGAGTCATTATAGAAAATTGAATTAGGTTATGCTAGATGTAATTTAATAATTTGTATACTATTTCCCCTTGAGCATGGTAATAATGTGAGTCATAAATACAGTCACTTTTCCAGTATCCAGTACTGTTTAGAATTGGGATGTTTCAGATTATTCTAATACATAGTTAGGAATAAAACTGTGCGAAATGTAATTTCATTCTGTAGACAGAGACTTAAGGAAGTATCCTAATAGTATTCTTGGGTTATTATAATAATGAATATATCAACTTTTTCTTTATTAAAAAAGCCTATATAGGAAATGTCTCTAACCTTAAGTTAAAATTTTATCAGTGAATATTTACTTTCAAGAGATCTAATATTTGCTAGTAAAATAATTTTTGGAGGTGTCTTATATGGACTTTCTAATGTGAAATTTTAAATTGCAGCAGTTCAGCGATTTACATATAAATCAAAGTTATGAAATTGGGAAATATATTCGACTGCATAGAGTGATAAAAAGAAGAGATAAGTGTAATTTGACCTTGTAAAATTACTTATACAGTTTAATATATCCCAATGTGTCTTGGAGTGTTGAGTTACTTGTTATTGGCATAGGTGGAAATTGTTTACATTTGCATTTACATAGGCATTGGTAATTATTTGCTCTCAAAATATTCGATAGTATAAACTATGGCATAGCAGTGGTAACCTCTTTTTGCTTTTTCTTATGCCTTTGAATATTTTTTTCTAAATCAGAATGCTTTTGACAATCCAATTTAATAATTATTTATTGTTATTTTTACTGTGTTTAAGTTTCTATACAAATGAATAAAACAACTTTTTTTGAGTAGGTCAGTTGGAAAAGTGTGCGGATACAAGTAGCGTGTTAAACTCAGGTTGGTAAATGCTCTTGAAGAGCTGTGAACAGATGCTGTGAGGGGTATAGAGACGAGAACAACATTTTTGGATTGAGATACCTGACAACATTTCATCTTTCCAGTTGAGTCTCTTTTTTAGACTTTGTATTCTTAGCACATGCTTCCTGTATTACACCTTAATTTGACATAATTTGACTTGAGGTGTGTGGGCAGGGGTCAGTTTGCAAATGGCATTGTAGGCCTCAAACTGTCCTATCGAACACTAACTAGGCCCGTGAGATATGCTATGAGCAAGGGGTTCTGTGTTCAGGTAAGACGGGGATAACTATACTCATCTATCTGTATTAATGCTCTCAAATTCTTTAGTAAAGAAACCCGTTCATTTTACTTAACCTGGCATTTCCTCAAATAATTTTACCACTAGACACTTTTGGGGTTTTCCTTGGAAACTCCCAGGAAAGTAGAGTTCTGTGCACACTATTTGGGGAAAGAGTGCTCAAGGTCAAGGTCCTAATGTACTAAGAGGAAGGCATTTTGCAGCTTTTTTAACCAAATTCAGTTCAGATAATCAGATAATTGTGGGAATCAGTAAGGCACATTGTCAGCTTATTTCCAGCCTCCTTCCTGGATGTATTTTACATTATACCCCTCTTATTGAGCCCCTCTCTTGCTTAGCTTCGTTGGGGCTTGCTGGCTTTTCCCTAGTACAGAGAAAGAGAGCAAGCAAGAGATTGAGATTGTGATTTTATCATATTGGTTACAAAGTATGAGCTGTGGTGATGTCAGACTGCCTGCATTTTTGAATCCAGGTCTTATGTGAGTTGCTTAACCTGTGTGTGTACTTTTGTTTCCTCACAGATAGAGTGGGATGATGCTAATGGTACCTTCTCATGGGGGTTACTATGAGGATTAAATGGGATAGTCCTTGTGAATCACTTAAAATATCGTGTGAAATTTAGGTGTGTAGGGAATGCTAGCTTCTCTTATTGATCATTAATGCAGTTTTTGAGTGTCTCTACTATGCCAAATAAATATGAAATGATATATTCTCTGTCCTCAAGAATCTTAGAGGTTAATGAGTACATGCACAAATACAATTATATTACAATAAGATCATCTTATCAGGACAAATACAGAGGCTTATAAGAATTAGGAAAGATTTCACGGAGGAGGTAGCATTTGAGCTCAGACCTAAAGAATAGGGAGGAACTTACAAGGCAGAAGGACCACAGCTGCAAAGACATGGAGGTAACTGTTTCTGGAAATTGCTACGGGCAGGGTGATTTCGGGGTGGGCAAGGAGGCATAATGAAAATGACAAGAGGTGAGGATTGGCAAGTAAGCAGAGGTCAAGTTTTGAATGGTTTGTATGCAGTACAGAGGAGTTTTAATCCAATAAGTGATAGAAAGTTGAGAAAACTTTGACAAAGGAAATGACGGCCATAGGAGTTTTAGAAAGATACTCTGGCTTCAGTGATGAGAAGGAAGTTGGAGGTGTTGCAGGCTTGGACCAGGCAGATGAGCAGCATTGGGAACGGGATGTGGGACAGGAGTAGATCAGAGGTGCCCTGAATATAGGCTTCAGTGGACTGGTGATGGATAGAGTGAAAAGAATATGCAGATGGAGAATACCTGTGTTTCTTAAATGTCCTCCTTTATCATCCCTATCAGAAGTCCTCTTTATTCTTAAAATAAAACAGTTCA